CGCGGAGCAATCTGTGGAGCTGGAAGCTGAGAACTGGCGACTTTGTAGTACAACTTTAGTACGTGGAGCAATCTGTGGAGCTGGAAGCTGAGAACTGGCGACCTTGTAGTACAACTGTAGTACGCGGAGTATGTGGGGAGCTGGAAGCTGAGAACTGGCGACCTTGTAGTGCAACTTTAGTACGCGGAGTATCTGGGGAGCTGGAAGAGAGTCCCACAAGAGTGTCCCGCAACAGTGTCCCACTAGAGTGTCTCACAAGAGTGTCCTACAAGACTGTCCCACGAGAGTATCCTACAAGAGTGTCCCACAAGAGTGTCCCACAAGAGTGTCCCACAGAGTGTTCCACAAGAGTGTCCCACAAGAGTGTCCCACAAGAGTGTCCTAGAAGAGTGTCCCACAAGAGTATCCTACAAGAGTGTCCTACAAGAGTGTCCTACAAGAGTGTCCCACAAGAGTGTCCCACAAGAGTGTCCTATAAGAGTGTCCCACAAGAGTGTCCCACAAGAGTGTCCCACAAGAGTTTCCGACAAGAGTGTCCTACAAGAGTGTCCTACAAGAGTGTCCAACCAGAGTGTCCTACAAGAGTGTCCCACAAGAGTGTCCCACAAGAGTGTCCTATAAGAGTGTCCCACAAGAGTGTCCTACAAGAGTGTCCCACAAGAGTTTCCTACAAGAGTGACCCACAAGAGTGTCCTACAAGAGTGTCCTACAAGAGTGTCCCAGAAGAGTGTCCCACAAGAGTGTCCCACAAGAGTGTCCTACAAGACTGTCCCACAAGAGTGTTCTACAAGAGTGTCCCACAAGAGTGTCCCACAAGAGTGTCCCACAAGAGTGTCCCGCAACAGTGTCGGTCAAGAGTGTCTCACAAGAGTGTCCCTTAAGAGTGTCCGAAAAGAGTATCCCACAAGAGTGTCCTACAAGAGTGTCCCACAAGAGTGTCCTGCAAGAGTGACCCACAAGAGTGTCCCACAAGAGTGTCTCACAAGAGTGTCCCACAAGAGTGTCCTACAAGAGTGTCCCACAAGAGTGTTCCACAAGAGTGTCCTATAAGAATGTCCCACAAGAGTGTCCCACAAGAGTGTCCTACAAGAGTGACCCACAAGAGTGTCCTACAAGAGTGTCCTACAAGAGTGTCCCAGAAGAGTGTTCTACAAGAGTGTCCTACAAGAGTGTCCCAGAAGAGTGTTCTACAAGAGTGTCTCACAAGAGTGTCCCAGAAGAGTGTCCTACAAGAGTGTCCCACAAGAGTGTTCCACCAGAGTGTCCTATAAGAGTGTCCCACAAGAGTGTCCCACAAGAGTGTCCCACAAGAGTGTCCTACAAGAGTGTCCCACAAGAGTGTCCCACAAGAGTGTCCCACAAGAGTGTCCGACAAGAGTGTCCCACAAGAGTGTCCCACAAGAGTGTCCCACAAGAGTGTCCCACAAGAGTGTCCCACAAGAGTGTCCGACAAGAGTGTCCCACAAGAGTGTCCCACAAGAGTGTCCCACAAGAGTGTCCCACAAGAGTGTCCCACAAGAGTGTCCGACAAGAGTGTCCCACAAGAGT